AGGATTTTAGGTTGATTTATGTATTGATGTTAACCTTACAGTAAGCAACTTTTGCTGTAATACAGTATTTTGTTATTAAAGGATTTATTGCCCAAATACCGTCTATAGATACGCCTTATCTCGGAGGTTCATCATGAACTTGATGTTGTCCCGTGATCTAAGGGAGGATTTTTTTCTTATTGTAAGCCGGCAATTATCCCTGTATGCACTATAAAAGTGCACCCAAGGACAATCCCCGGTTGATGCAGGACACTATTGTGAAATGTGCTATGCACTAGTGGATAAAAACTATGAAATTATTAATTAGGTTTAGATTCAATTTCTTCCTTGTTCTGGAAAGAATACTTAAGCTTATGTCCTTTGGCATAACATGATGCACAAAATGAATCACTTTAGTCAATACTTTAATTAATAATTTATGGGGAGGTAAAATAGTTGCAGAAGTAAGGTTACATATTACCTATATAGAAACGTAGTGTAAGAAAGTTTAAAACTAATAAAAGACTAGCACAACACAATTTTCATTAAAAATACTTATACACATATAACATGTGAAATAAATAATTGTCCGTTGGCTGTCAATTCCATCAGGACTTTTGGGGATTTGGATTAATTAGCTTTGGCAACCCTGGGTCCGCGGCAAACACGAGAGTTAGTTGGCCGACGGCACCGCTTGCATTAGCACATAATACGTGTCGTTGTTTATTCATTATTCTTACGTAATATATATAGTTCGTAATTGTTAAATAAATTAAATCACCATAAGTCTTAAAATTAGTATAATTGAACAGCACCTACAAGTCCACCCCTTCGAAGCAGTAAATAAGTTCTACGTTACCTGTGGAATAATAACGATGCTGTCGCGTCAGAATGTTTGTGTAAGACAGTGACAGCAACAATTTTATTCCTCAGATAACATTTATCTGAATATTGAAAAATTAAGCAGCAAAATGCCACTAAAATCTGATTTTAATTTATAATTTATTTTTTCCCTGACGGTTATTGTTAGGAAAACTTTCAAAGTGCCGTTCTTAGACAGCTTCACAATTTTGACACTAGAGGCGCTAGTTAGAATCTTAGTCTTTGCATCGCCAATCGACCAATGCACTTTTGTCACCATTAGTACAAGGCAAATTTATTTTTTAAGTTTATTTTTTTAGGTCGGTTTTTTTTATACTACAGATAAGCAAAAAATTCTATATTTATGAACCTACCCTTTATCTTGGTATAATAGATTGTTTTTTTAATAGGCGCTGGATGTTTTTTAAAAGGTGTCTTTTCAGGATACGTAGGAAGTGGAAGCATATCTCGCACTTTAAGCTCACGTGTATGCGTAAGCACTTATTCAGAGCATTTTTCGACTTATTCATTTGCTGTTTTATTCTCTATTATCTTATTTGGCTAGGTATAAGTTTTTTTTTTATTTTAGTGTTTAAGTTGTAGCTGTATAATAGTTAAATTAGTTTGGTTATGTGCTTTTCTCCAGATACCTTTTGTTTTGTCAGCTCACATCTCCCGCCCAGGGTAAGGTGAGAGAGATTGTCAGACTGTTACTTACTAAACGGGGTGTTCCCCCGTTCCTTCTCCTGCCGAGCCTAAGCCGCGGTAACTCATTGCGCTTAACCCCCAACCCCGTCTGAACATAGGAATGTTTACAATTGAGCAAAATTTTTACAAACAAAGTATAACCGACCGCATTTATGCTCAAAGCTCTAAGGAAGCTTCTGCAACAGAGTGCAACGTGGGCATTATCCGACTTCAGTGATGGTTTGGTGGGGTGTTAGCTATGAAGAAGTGACTGAGCCATACTTTTGCGAAAAAGGTATCGAAACATCGGCACAAGTGTATCAAAATACCATTCTTGAGAAGGTAGTTAAGCCCCTTAACAACACCATGTTCAATAACAAACAATGGTCCTTCCAGCAAGACTCGGCGCCGGGTCATAAAGCTCGGTCCACGCAGTCTTGGTTGGAAACTAACGTTTCCGACTTCATCAGAGCTGAAGACTGGCCGTCGTCTAGTCCCGATCTTAATCCGCTGGATTATGATTTATGGTCAGTTTTAGAGAGTAGGGCTTGCTCTAAACGTCATGAAATTTGGACTCTCTAAAACAAACCATACGATTGGCAGTGAAGAATTTTCCCATGGAAAGAGTGCGTGCTTCTATTGATAACTGGCCTCAACGTTTAAAGGACTGTTTGTTGCAGCCAGTGGAGACCACTTCGAATAAGCTTTTTATGGTTTAAATTGTTTTATATTTACGTATTAAACTTACATACTGTAAAAGTAATAAATGTTATTTGCAATATGGCTAGACTAGGTATACACAGAGTATATCATGCGCAAGGTACTGGACCAGTGTGATGGGGGGATATCGGTCGGGGGTCGAATGATATCAAACCTCAGATACGCCGACGACACTACTCTGGTTTCCTCACTTCCTGACATATATCACCTTCTCACACTTCTAGAACGTACCAGTCTCGAATTTGGTGGCTCGGGCGTGAGGAGGATAGCTCCCCCAAGCGCTCTGTCGCCTTTGCAAGCATCATTGCTTTCCAGTAAGAGGTTCACAGTTCCTCTCGCTACGCACCATGGTTTCGATTAAGACCGGGTCAATTTCTTATAGGCAACGATCTCATTAGTAATGACCATTAATAAAGCACAAGGCTCAACGCTATGTCGGGCCGGAGTACACTTGGAAAACATTGTTTTACGCCTATTCCCGGATATTCAGTGCCCAAAATCTAGCTGTTTTTTGACTCTCCAAGTTAAAACCTGTTATATAGATTACGATTCAATTTTGTTTAAAATCTCAACGTATCTTGGATTTTCTTGTGTGTCCTGGTTGCGTTTACAAACATACATATATTTCACATACACATCACACCCAGATCCGAAACAACAATTTGTGGATCACTCAAAGAGTTGTTCCGTGCGGGAATCGAGCCCGCGACACGTGGCATCAGTTGCCCCACCACCGCGCCGACCGTGCAGTCGCGCTATATCGCGCTTCTTATATTTTCACAACTCGCCTCGTTTTCTCTTATAAAGTTATTTTGGTTTTTATTTAAGTATTTTTTTGTGTGTGACTGGTCGGCAAACGAGCAAACGCATTACCTGATGGTGAGCAGTCAGCGCTGGCGCCGCCCATGGACATCCCCAACGACGGAGGAGTTACGAGTGCGGCGAACCAAAACGCTGTAGTTGTTTCAAGCAGCTTTTCTGTGAGGCCGTGGTATCACTACAGCCGAGCCGACCCATTCGTGCCGAAGCATGGCTCTCCCACACTTAAACCAAAAGACAAGATTCTCAGAATACTGAAAGGCGTAGTCACACGTTGTTTGGCCAAAGTGCTACGGTAGGTAGGTATGTGTAACGTCTGACGTCACCTTTCAGTATTCTGAAAATCTTGTTTTATACTTTTTCAGCGTTATTGTTTTGTCGTAGTTGGATTTTAGATTTTCTACTTTTTATTATTTGTTACACAAGCTGAGAGTAAAGTAATAATGTTTTCTTATAAACCATTCATACATTCTGTATAGTGTCTGGTGAAGGTGACCAAACTAGGCCAATCACTGCTGCACGCGCAGGTTCACATGGCGTGAACAGACGATGTCATCCTGACTGTGTCATGGGCCGAGGTCGCGGTGCCTCATTGCGCTTACCCCGCAACCCCGGCTGAACATCAGCTCTATAGGGCCCCGTCTGTGGTGGTCTATTGGCTCTTTGAGCGGAGACGGAAACCGGAAATTTTGAGGACACGGCGGTGCTCAGCCCAAGCAGGGCACTCCGCCACCTTATGCTCCACCGTGTCCTCTAGGGGGTCCTCATAATGACGACACTCGGGCGTTTTCCCTATGTTTCTCATTCGTTTTAAACGCTCTATAGTAAAGAGAAGTAAGTACTGCAAAGTTTGTGTTACGTAGGAGTTATGGACAAGGAGCGGGGGACTGCTCGTACAAAGCTGACATTCGTTCTCTCCTGCTCACTCACTCGCGGTCATTTAATGCACCTCGGCTGAAGGACCCTTCGTAAGAAAGCATATTAAGTATATTAAATGTGGGATGTGGTGGCATTTATGCACACAGGAAGTTAATGAGGAAAGGGAATAAAAATTAAAACAATAAATCAATAATAAAAGTGTTTATTAAATTAAAAACACAGACTACGAGTAATAAAACCACTGTCTGTGGATACGTCTCTATAGCGCAATGTTACATAAGGTATCATCGTGTACTAAAGTGTCGTGTGAGTGTAGACATGGGAGAGTAATGTACCTGTGGGTACAGCGTTGGTTACTAAACGATATCTAACTCTTGGCTCACTTATAATTAATTTTATTCTAGCAATTCACTAATGACTTTGGTAAATACCCTACTTACTGCAAGTATGACATTTGTCTACTGGGCACACAACCCTACTTAATGATCACTAATTATAATAAGTAGGTACTATGAACGACTACCTAGGTAAATATTTAGTAAAATCTTCGGTTCCGCGAACATTATACATTGCTTAAAACCTATCAAAAATCACCAACATCGTATGTCCGTAATACTTACTACAATATTAATATCGACATTACATACAAATTACCTAATTTATTTAGCATAGCAAATGACTTGCCCTTCGTGGGCGCAGCGACATTTCTTTCATAGTCTATGGGCTCAATTTAAATTATAATAAGATTATACAATTTAAGATTCCCTATTTTAAGGCTGTGAAAGCCTATTCGTGTTGTATCGAGTTTTTTATTTTTGTTTCGTTGATCAGCCGCAGCTTCAGCAATACTGAATTGAGAATAGAATAGGAAGACCTGGCGGAATTGAATGACATCAGGCTGCCAATGGATACAGTAGCTCTAAGATCAATTTAGAAAATGCTCAAGTTACGGCCCTTCTTCTTCTATCCTTCTATCCTTTGGGCAGATTGACCTACTCCAGACGGATGCTGAGCCATCGAGTACGAACACAATGTGCAAAGGTAGCTCTAGCATGGCAGTTGTGCACACAAGGAGCAGTTACACTAATTACATTTCTATGTAAATCAAATCGTAGGTCTCGGTAGCAGCAGAAAGCAACACTTGCAAAAGTAAATTTAATACGGGTGGAAGTGTTCAAAGCAATTTGTTTTTTTAAACGAAATCAATTCGCTTTGTTTTTTTTCTGCAAATCGACCTTAAGACAAGGCTTCCTTAACGACGGACAGGTATAATAATTTAGTTACATAGTTAACATTACATAAATATTACTGGATGTATATAGATGTTTTTCAAGAGAGCACAAACTCGTTCACCAGCCACGGACGTCGTCAACTGGACTGAATTATATGGAAAATGTATAATTACTACGCTGTCCTAATTTCAAATTGAAAAGCATTTTAACTGAAAATGAATAAAGGTTCTATTTTATGCATTTATATTACGTTGAAAGCATTTTATACAATATAATGTTATGATAAGTTCGATTTTGTGAAGCCGTACCGGTGCGACTTGACAAAATCAGAGGGATGGCAACAATCGAGAAGAATCAAGATGTATTTGAAACTAACATAACTGCCCATGGAACTTATAATTAACACGTTTCTTTCCATGCAGAGCACGGAGTATTGAGAGAGCATATTTGTGTTTTTGTAGGAAAGGAATGGCGCACGGCCGGCAGAGCCGTCAGCGGCGCGCTGCAGAACTCGCCAATACTTTGTAGAGAGCATGACTTGTGTCCAATTCAATTTTTGCAGAAAGTGACACTGGCGAATGTGACGTTTCTGTAGACTTTAACGCCAATGCTAACTTGGCATCGGCATCGTACGTATCTGAGCAAACAGACCATAGCTACATTGATTGTAGTGAGTCTAACTGATGGATAGACGAGGCACTGTCAGGAGAATAGCTACCTGATTATCTACTGTTTACGTTTTCGAGGCCCTCACGGTGCTGTACCGAGCAGACGGCTTATGGGAGAAGTATTGTTGACTCGTACATTGTTGAAGGCTGTCATTATAACCTTGATGTGGACAGCTAGGTACTATATGACTGCAAAGTTCGCGAGTTGTTTCTCGGGTACAAAAAACAAATGCCAGTTAACAGGACTAAATCCAAGACACCACATTTAGAAAGTATATATGTACAAATAGATGATATACTTATATATTGATGTTACTGGTAGTACGTGTGGACTGAGCTGGATGATGTCGGTGGTGGGCCCGGCGTCGGTACGGACGCTGGCGACGGTAGGGTCGGCAGCGGGGTTGGTGGCGGTGAAGAGTACACCTTACGTTCAGGTGGTAGAGCAGGAAGGGGCGAAGACAGCCCAAAGCCTCCCAGACTGCTGATGGAGGAGCCACCAGACAGCATCTGGCCATGCACGCCTCTCATCCCAGCAAACATCGGCGCTGAGCCTGTAAAGCAATAATACTGTATCAAAAAAGGCATTAGCTATGGGAGGCATCGGTTCGCCATGATTATGCTGCACACACAACATTACACTCTTGACTTATACATAAATATGGAGGTAAGCAAACATATCGAGCAGTGCTCGTCGCTCAACATCGTATATACCGACCACAAAAGTGTGTCTATAGCAATAGAACAAAATCGAAGTATACATAAAATTTGTTATTAATCGTCTCATTTTTATGGGTACATCTCCAATGGGTAAATAATAATACCCCATTGCTTACGTCCATAGATAGAGTGGTACGGGTCTAACTAATAGGTAAGTATTACAGATATTTCATGAAACCTATTATACATTATATTATATTTTATAAAGAGTCGCGTCGAGCGCGGCACCCGTTTACCGCGTTACACAAAAATAATCCTTATGGCATGATTCAGTGTTCACATGCGATAGCGCGATGGCTTATTATACGAACTGCTAAGCTATCAGGAGTTATACGTGCTATTGTGAGTTAACCATAAAATAAAGACATATGTTGTATTGCAATATCTTTTAAGATAATTTTATGTAGAATATTTCCATCATACATAATTTCTATGTAACTTTACCCATTAAGGTTACACACGCGACGGAAACTTACAAAAGGGAGTGTCTTCTCCCGTTTCTCAACATTTTCCCTCTCTGCTGTGCTCCTTTTATTTGAAGCGTGATGAAAAGTATCCCATAACCTGCCCAGGAGTATAAAGAATAATTGTACCAAGCTTTGTTAAAATCTGTCCAGTAGTTTTTGTTTCTATGAGGAACATACAGACAGACAAAAATTTTACTGATTGCATTTTTGGCATCAGTATCGATCACTTATCACTTTATTTATTAAAATATATTTAATGTACAGAATTGACCTCTCTACAGATATATTATAAGTATAGATAGATAGGTAAACGTGCTTAATTCGTACGTCGTCTATATTTCGGCTTGGGTAATAGTTACTAGCGCCTCTGGTGGCATAAAATGTAAATAATAGTCGGCCTTATTGCCATGTGACAAAAAACACCTGTTACGTTGCTGCCGACTAAAATATTGAACAGGTCAGTTTTTTATTACTTTTTATCTAACTATTTCGCATACTTAACAAGAACTGTCTTCCAAGTAGGTATACCGTTCATAAGTTGTTTTACTGTTTATTATACATTGAAGCACATATATTTCACTCATTAAAGCCGGCTTGTTCGTTGACAGTTTTTTTGCGGCAAATTTGAAATTCATTTGATACTTTTGCCTAATCCGTACTCGCAGTTACTTCTTAAAACGTACCGGTACGATTTAGAAAAACGATTTTTAATTTCACAGTAAATATTAACTTATTACTTGATAATTCTTTATTATTATTTTTATTTAATCATTTCCAATTATTTTTGTTAATTTTGTAGGGCAACATGTCAAAAAATACATATAAATCTTTAGTCATTATAACTCGTTAGTACAGGAAGTGTATATAAACAAGAGCTCGAAATAAAGATAGAAGAAACCAAGAAGAAGACAGTAATATCACATTTTATGCGATAACTTGTGTTATTCTCGAAGAACAAGATTCGAGATTGGTTGCAACTGTTGCCACATACCTACACGTACAATTCTCACATTGCAAGTTGAATTATAGAAAAAAAACTCCTAGCAATAATAAAATAGAGATATCGTTTCTTTATAATATATGCAACTGAAAACATATGCCGTTTTGTGGCCAAAAAGGGCGCCAAAGCTAGTTGTGTATGTGTGTGTAACTTTCAGCAGCCTAGGTGAGTGTTCAGCACCTACGCTGCGCAGAGTTCGCCGAGTGTCCGGGCGAGAGCGGCGGCGGCAACTGCTGCGCGTGCGCGACACGGCAGCGTATAATTATAACGGCCGCTTAGTCTCTCTAATTTACTTTTTGAAGACAGGCAACAGCATTCCTATTTAGCCAAGATTAGTGTACCGATCTCGTCACCAATGAGTTTGAGATTAAGTACTGATAACTAGTCGTCCAATATAATTCCTGAATCCTAGAACTGTGTCGAATTAATTCGGTTCCTCGGCCAGTTTACACTTTTGTTTCTTTGTGAAGCAAGCCGGCAATACACAGCGAGTGTGCGTGGGATGCAACCTAACATATTGCAATGACTATATTTTTATATAAAACAAATATTTCAGCTGAAAAACAGACTCAAAAAAACAGGCGAAAAAAATCCATGCAACCTCAAATATATGACAGCCCGATCACGTAAAAAATGCTGGTCGCGTCGCGGAGGGCCAACATCCTGGTGATGCTGGCATCGAACCTGCTGGCCGGCTCATCGCCTACTGATTGCACGCTGACATGCAGCACCGGCCCGAAACTCCACCGCGTCGGATTAATTCGTGGCGGTATAAGTTCCAGCGCGATCTCATGTCATAGTGGAAGCAATGTCTGTTGCAACCGAGGACCGGCCACGCTGTTACGGCAGCTAGCAGCGGCTCTTTTGAGGAGTTGCTAGCGAGGCGCCCAGCCGACGTGTCCTTCTTCTGTGAAGCAGGGATCGTTGCAAATAAGAAGCAGAGCCCTTGCGGGAACTATTCTCGTCGTGACCGAGCCGCTGCAGTGGGAGACAATCTCTGGTTTCCGGCACCGGCACCGGCAGACCCGAGCGAACGGCGAATAGTGTTCCACGCGCGCCTCAATAAGCCAATAGACCACTACAAACTGGACCCAACAGAGTCGATGTTAAGAAGGTTTTGCGGGCCAAGCGCAATATAAAGTCCAAATTAGCAAGCACAGAATAATCGCGAGACCTCACATCGGTTGTCGGCTAGCACAAAGTCCGTGGAAGAAATAAGCAGTAACGGCAGCGACCGCTGACAACGCGTCGATGAAATAATTGTGAAGGCGGCGAGCGTGGATCCGGCGGCCGCCTGCCGCTCGTCCGTTGGCGGCCGCGAGCTCGCCGCGCCGGCTAATCGCCGTAATGTAAACACACTAGCAACTGCTTCCAATTGGGCCGGTTTTGGGAACCAAATTTTACTTCGCCAGATATATTGCTGCATTACAAGAGTATCCCAGTTTCGCGATTACGTTTCCAAGAAGTTTATGGAAAGCTGGATATAAATTCCGGAGCGAAATTGTTTGATGACGACATTGATCATTACACTCTGTTGAGTGAGCCAACAGAAGATTATAGACACAGTTCGACGGTACATTTCAGGAATAAACAAGTTGCAATGATGCCGTTTCTAGGAATACTAGTTTTATATAATTGTAAATATTATTTATGAAAAATAAAAGTGTTGGTTAACTCTCTGCAGAGCTCTCTTTCGTGAGCTAACATTCCGGTACTTGTCATCGCTTTGTAAAGGCCATAGATCACGCCAGGGAGGGGCCCCGTCGATGGGATAAATTGCTCTCAAGTTGGCAGGCGACGAGAGATGTTCGCCGGCGCAGCGGCCGCCGACACCGAGCTACTTTAACAGTTTACCAGAGATTTATCACCAGCATTACGTAAGTGGCTCGCGCAGGTACATACACAACAAATCGCATAACTCGCACAGCATTTGCACACTCAAATTGTAATTTAATTCACAAAATGTTATATTTTCGCCAGCGAATTATGTGAATCCTGAATGCCGGAAGTTTATGATGGTAATCAAAATATTTTTATGTCATTGAAGCAATAAAAGTGGATAATTCATTTTATATTAGTCAGTGCATGTTTCCCTAATTACATTCGTTTACGACGCCTCGGATTTGTGTGAGTGCGACGGTGTTTGGGCCGAGGGTGAATGGTTGGGTCGCAGGCATTAAGGATTCACGAAGACGCAATATTCCAGACAACATGAAATAAATGTCAAGTGATCTGATTGATACTGTGTACTTACATCGCACGTGTCGAGTACATCAGAGCACTTGGAATACATGGCATACAATTCGCGGGAACTAGCGACCAAAACATTAGTACCTGGTTGTACAACACCGGGGAACCACAATGTCTCATGCGACAACCGGTGAAAGGTATTCTGGTATTGCGCCAACGATCCTCCCTAAAGCAAGGAAAATGTATGTTTTGTATTATCCAACAGACAACGCGTGCAACTACAGAATGTAATCACAATTACAATCTTATATGACAATAGCAATGTGAGTTACTCATTTTATCGCTGGAATAAACTAGTTTTGTTTGTGGTATAATTTTATTGAAGCCAGGAAGTATAAGCTCAATAAAAGAATACGTTTTACTAGTAATCGTTCTCGTACAACTTTCGAAACAAAAAATCCGCCATTACCTAGGCATCTATGTGTTTGCCGGCCAACATCTGACGCTTGTAAAAAGCTACAAATTTTTTACGCAAAAAAAGGGTCAACGTTGCCATATGAAAGGGTTAACTTTTTTATCTGCAGAGCAACTGAAGGATGATCTGGTTTTTACTTTTTTTCGATTGTATGTTATGGTAGGAGGGCGCTAAATCTGTTAACATAGAGAGACCACCCATCAACCAAGATGTGACCAATGTTCATTACTGCTTCTACATAAATGGAACTGTTGTTCATTGTTGTTGTTACATGGCTCTATACTTTTTAAATAAGTTATTCCAAAATCCGCCAATTAATAAATATGCTCCTATGCGTTTGATATAAAAGCATTTTTTGCCGAGTTTTTGTGAACGTTACGTTACTAGGTGTGGAAAGCTCAACTAGTTTGATGTCACACCTCTCACTCGTCTTGATGCGCGTGCGCGTCGCTGCTTGTCTCTAGTGAGTAATTGTTTATTTTTAATAAATTAAATTAACTACATATAAGTACACCCAACACCCTTAAATGACCAATTCTTGTATAGTTATGTATATGTAGGTAGGTATATGATATATTACGTAGCAATTTTGAGTGTTTTTATGTAAACAGTTTCGGGTCGAATAAACGTAGCTCGGTTCTCCGAGTATGTATGTATGTAGGTAAAACATGCAGTCCACATTTTGATATTGAAAAGGTACTTGCATGTACTCAACACGTACCTATTCCACGCGCATACTTACCCAACCCGGCCAAACCGTATAGGAAGCAACTTGCTTGTAATTGTCTAACCTTAAGAAATCATCAGAAGGAGGATGTTGTTGTGTGTGTGTGTGTGTGTGTGTGTGTGTGTGTGTGTGTGTGTGTGTGTGTGTGTGTGTGTGTGTGTGTGTGTGTGTGTGTGTGTGTGTGTGTGTGTGTGTGTGTGTATGTGTGTGTGTGTGTGCCTCCATCACGTTTCCCACTTATACATTATTGGCCAATTAGAATGAAGGCATTGCAACATGAAAGTGTGGAGCTGAGCTGTGTAGTGCGTGTGCTGACGTAGCGAAACTGGCAAGCGACTTGCAGCTGCAAGTGCAATAATTAATTATTTACGAAGTGCACGCGCGGTGTGAGGCGTCTGTGTGGTCTCTTTCTAAAACGGTGGCTACATTAGCCCCTTGCGAGGATTCACCTCTCTCTGTAAAGTTGTCGAGAGATCGATTTCGTTTCGGACCGCACACATCGCGTCCAATGCATCGATCTGTGTCAATTACTCGAGTTATTTATATCGAATACAAATAGTACAATAACGTGCATGAGTTCCGTACAGATACAACAGCTGTACCAGTCGCCGGAAGACGATTCCAATTAGTATTATTGTATGTGATCAACTGTACTATGTTAATTGTATAAATACGTTACGTAATTAACGTCTGATTATCAGAACAAAAAGAAAGAAACAAAGATGCCTGGAAAATCAGAGAGTGACATTTTGTTGATTAAGTGTTAAAAGTGTAAGTAACGTATTAACTTCTCATCTCCACATATTAAGAAAACAGATCAATCTATACTACTATTATAAAGAGGTAAAATTTGTAAGTATGTAGGGGGTAATCTTTGGAACCGCTCGCGCTGGTCAGATTGCCGAAATTCTTTCACTTGTAGTGCTAGTTCTGAGTGCTATAAAACTATAAAACGCTATAAAACGCTACGATTACTTGAAGCCGAGCAGCGGGTGAAACTAAAAATGCCGTACAACGTGTCTGCCGGCAACAGGTACAGCAGAAGTATGCGTCCATTAGCACAATCCGAGGTGACTAATGCCACGTTACTTGCTTCGGAGAATAACATAAGTAATTGCAACAATCTCCAGCCAGGCAGGGTCTCCGCACTACTCAGCAGGCAGCGCTCGCTGCTGTCCGCTGAACTACAACTTCCAAACAGATGTCAGTCGCGTAAATGAAAAACCGGTCATAAAGTGCGCACCGTAGTCGAGCACAAACAGACTATCAAGGTTGTCGTTCTTAAAAATCATTCTCGATTTTTTATGAAAGCAACGTTAGAGTTCAGATATTTTTGAAATACCTATTGCATTTGTAAAGATCAAACGGTTCGAACAAACGGGCGCTCGTGTAAACACATCATACTCGGAGCCGACTACGGCCAAACGCGCCATCATCACACGTTAACTAAAATACATCCAGCACGCTCGCTCACTCAACTTTTATATTTTTATGTCCGTCTTGTGTTCAGGCAAAGTGTGCGCCTGCGCCTATTGCATATGCCTCCCTACTTGCGACACTACAGATACTGGATATACATTCTTTACAAACTTATACCGAAGGAAACATACATATACTACTACTACGATTTTGGTGAGTATTTCATCTCCGTTACGTCGAAACAATAATACAAGTGAATGCAGCAGCGTCATTCTGTAACACTTCATTCTAAATTTCGAATCTGAATCCGCTGTGAGTATTAGTACACTAGCGCTACACCTGCGAGTTGAACTAAATTGACAGCAACATTTTGATAGATAAAGTATGAGATGACGTTAAAAATGGCATTCTAAAATTTAATTTACCCGTCACTTCGACGCTCACTTCGCACTCGAACACGATTCAAAATCAAACAAATTTTATAGAATCGACGTGCAGGCAAGCGATAACTCAAATATAATAATATTCGCCGGGGTTGCGGGGTAAGCGCAATGAGGCACCGCGACCTCGGCCCAGAGCAGGAGAAGGAAGAAGGAGGAGGCATATTGCACAGTCAGTAAAGGGAAATTCATCAATTGACTCCTCAGGGCGAGGCGAGAGGAGTGTCAGATACCCTGTTGGGCCCCAGCTGGAGTAGTCCACTATTCGCCTGCAGTAGTGGCTGGGGTGTGAGGAGGATAGTTTCCTCACGCACTCCCACGACCATCACTGCTTCGCAGCAAAAGGAGACGGCTTCCCAGTTCCTCTCACTAAGCACCATGACCTTGACTAAGGGGTGTAGTATCAGCTCGCCCCCTGGATCTTGCCCCTTCCGATTAAAATGTTCCACTCGCCCCGTTTTTTATTAATTTGGAGTTGTGGTTCGCCCCTTATGAAAACCCTTACGGGGCGAGTGAAAAATTTAACAATTAAATAATTATTTTGATGCATCGACTCGCCCCTTACGGCATTCACTTTGAAATTTAACTAAAAAAGGTATATTCAGAAAAATGTATAGTAAACAAAACTGGTAAGTAATTTAACCACTTGTGATAGTTTTATTACCTGGCTTACCTACTGTAACAAAAGGGACCTTTTATGGGACCATTATTGAAGTTTTAAGAAAAAATATTCATTTAAATATTTTATAAACTTGGAGTTCTGACAGTACTTTTAACTAACCAACAATCGGGGGCGAGTTGGAGTATCTAATAATATAATTTAAGGAGCGAGTTGATGCACTGAGGCAATCAGGGGCGAGATCCAAGGGGCGAGCTGAGCCTACACCGACTAAGGCCGGACACGAGAGTTCGCCGCCGCCGACCACTTCCCTGACCCCCGCGGAGACGGCTGCGGAGCTCAGCCCAAGCAGCGCAGGGCACCGTGTCCTCTGGGTGGTCCTCACAATGTCCTCTCGCCGGTACCGAAACAGGTGTCTAGAGAAGCTTCCGTATGCGGTAAGCACCTGCTTCAGGCGGAGGATGACCCGGGGGGCTCCATCGTGAGAAAACTTTAAACATTCATATATGCCCTATATTACCGTTTAAGGTTTTTCCGACGTAAGTAAAATATTTAACCAATTATTGTTTGGATCTCTTACATATTATCTGCGAGTTAAAAGACTGAATATCGATCAGTGCAGCTTATATTATATTACTCGTATATACTGTATAGGTAAAGTAGTGCCTACATGTAAATGCTCTGATTACTGTCTGCCGTCATGCATACTTTTGTCTCAGGCAAATAGTAACAATTTAATTATTATCACTCTGTTTCTTTAGGCACCTACGTTAATTTAAAGATCTCATAATTGTTTTATGACTAAATTAATAATTAAATTGTTTTGTGACCATTTTTATGACCGACCTATTAACTAATAAATCTGCCGCATTGATTAATTTAACAAGTTTAAATAAATCGGAACTGTATATCTTCGTTACTTTAATCATGAATTCCTACTCTGGTTATTATGATGACGTACAGCGAGCAAATAAAACTATTTGAAGTGTATCTAGCACGCGCTGGTTTGCCCGAGCTGTGTTGCACCACTGCTTGCCCTTTGGGAATTGAGCTCACACTTCTCACACAGCTCTTCTAACACGGAGAAGGTTTGAGCATTAATCACCACGCTTGCTCAATGCGGGTTGGCAATTTCAAACTTGTAACTAATTAGAAATTATAAGTCCAGGTGTCCTCACGATGTTTACCTTCACATATATATCGACTGCCGCTACGAACAGTATCGAATCTGCAAAACACATACTTTACAAGAGAGCAGTTCAAAGTTATATTTTGACCTCCAATCAAAAATTATAATAATGTTATAAAACTTATATTCTTAAAAGATAGCTAATTTCATGTGTTTCTGTTTGCCTAGACTTGGTTTAAATAATAAACGTAAATTGTATATAAAATTCACATTCGATGATATACCATGTCAAAAAAAACTGCAATATCATCGAAAGTGGCATATTCAATAGTATTCACGGTTCATAAAATTATAGAAAATATCGAATCTGCCTGTTTCGATGATATTCTTTGACAATTCATGTAAGAAAAAAAAATATTGCTACACTTTCGATAGGTAGCTTATTTGCAATTTATGATAATAGTGGACTTTTGACGCAGAAAGAGGCATATTAAAATTAAACGCTAGTTTGGTAATTTAAAATACACATATTTATTAATATAAAACATAAAAACTAGTCATCTTACCATGAGATCAATCATGAGTAACATTATTTATTTAAAGAAAACTAAACAAACTGTTCATCACAGAATTAAATCACACACATCTTAAATCTTAATAAATGAAATCTTTTAACGACACATTAGTGTTCATAGGTACCTAATGTATAATGAGATTATTAAGTCTTATGTAAATTAATTAATCTTACCGTGTAACACAACTGTGCCTGTCTATATTAATCAGTCACTATATTCAGTCTCGTTAATAGAAACATCTTTAATGGTAGGTATATAAAAATTAAATAAAAACCCCTCAATTTGGTATTTTAACAAAACATAAATTCTAATAAACACTTAATATCTACTAAAAAAATAAACTGTAAAAAAATAAAGTCTCATCTAAAATCTAATCATCTTCATCACTCCCCGAAACATTTTCACTTTGAACCTTTTTAAGATTTTTAAAAAAGGCATGATATTGTCTAGGGATATGTCCTGCTTCACAAAGTTGTATAAGATCTTTATATTTAGCTTCCGGAATTGGTAAAGTATCGGAATATAATGGTTTCAGTGCGTCGTTGCAGTAATCTACAACTGTTTTTTTGTTGCGACGTGTCTGAACTAAGGTATTTAATTTAAAGTAATCACCCTCCAAATCATATTTGTATAAAATAATGTCTGGTTCAGATCTCTTCACACAAACTTCCTTGATATTATTCCATTTGACGTCATGATTCGAAGTGTTTTTCTTAAAATTTCTGTTTTGCAATAGTTCTTTCAAGTCGTACAGCATGTCTTGAGACACTTCAATGACGTTATATGGCTCATTATTTGTTTTGGCCCAGCAAACCAAAGCATACCATTGATCGGGTGTATATATTATTTTACCCTTCGCAGTTCTTTCTATTAAAGCATGTACACTGTCTGCTTCTTGTTGAGTATGACCAGACTCAAGAAATCTGTGAGTGATATTAATATTATATTTGTTACTGGCGTACATGTAGAGACTATATATCACTCTATTGCGATTTTGACCATTACAATTATCCGACCAAAACCGTATGTCAATTGCTCCACGAGCCACCTTTTTTTCTATAAAATCTAACAAGCAACTTCCTACCTCGTTTGCTCCTCGTTTACCAACATTTTGTGGCCATAAATAACAAGAAGCTTCCTTAATACCAGTGTCAAAAACTGTAAAATGCATCAATGATAACTTTCTTTTATAATAAAAAAGAGACACTTCGCCAGAAGGGCAGTTAAGTAATTTCTGAAAATCGAATGTTGCACAAATTGTTTTTGATGTACTCTGAATGGCATCTTCTTTATCTTTTGCTTTATATTTTCTTGCAGTTTCCTTGTTTAAAATATGTTTATTATGAGCCAGTACTTGTTCTTCAGTAGGGCTCACCTCATTAGAAAATGCGTGGCACTTGTCACACAAATCTTTTTTCGGAATAAAGAATGCAATATTCATATGGTCGTTTACAATGGTTCGGTATTGCCTTTCGGTCTCAGCTGTATTATTATATTTCGATAGTTCTGGCCAATCTTTGTACATTGAAAACATCTTATTAAAACTTAAAGAGTTATCCAAATATAATTTACTTGTATTTTTCCTAGTGTAATGGGATTCAACGGGTTGGAAAGATTTGACGTGATCACAAACACTGCGTATCATTTCATCATCTATCTTTTTCGGGTGATTTAAATGTTTTCCTCTATTGTCACTGCTAGTAATTCCACAAGAGTCTAATTTGCTATGTGCTGTTCGGATTATTTGATCGGTGATAGCGAGAGTGCCACAGAACATCTTTAAACAAACTTGCTGAGTCTCGAAGGTGGAATCATCCGTAGGCAAAGGTAAATAATATTTTGTGGTAAATTTTCGTCTAGACGGATTTTCAGTTGTCATCCTTTTTTTATCAAATCTTTTAGTAAATTTATTTATAAACTCCCACTGCTTAGTGTGGTCGGAAAGCTGCCAAAACTGATCAAAAATATTTTTTCGCATAGAATCTGTAAAATCCTTAGTGCATTTCAACTTACAGGTTAGAGGACATGGTGGTTTCATGGATTTAGCGGGCACAATTTTACCTTTCTTGGAAACATATTGTAGCCCGCAGTTTGTCAATGTTTTTCTACGAACATCGACCCAATCTTTGATGTGCCGTTTTCGTTTACGACCAAGATCAGTTTTGTACGTCGGCTTGCGCTTGCGTGAAGAAGATGGATTAGGAGAATTACTGAATTCACTGTCGGATATTGAAATTAGTGAACTTAAACTTGGTATATTTACAGGGTCATCAGTTACGTTTGGTGTTGTGTCAATAGGAAGGTCTAGTCCAGAAGGAAGCAACTGCATCAGTAATCTTTCTTCATTAGGGGCGTCTACGGGGTCTTCAGACAGGGGTATACCGAAAGTAAGGTCTTGTCCAGAGACAGGTGATGGCATTGGTGTACCTTCTTCACTGCCAAGTATAACATTATGGGAATCATTTGCCAGACTTTCATTAGACTTGTCTTCTTCTAGTTGTGAAGTAGGAAACACATCATCATAAATATTGTTCAAAAGTCTCCATTCTTCTTCGGTGTAGTCTTTATAATGAACAGGGGATTCTAAAATAAAGAAAACACCTATAAAATAAAAGAATAACTAATAAAAATATCTTACATCTATCGAAACTGCCAATACAATAAGCATTCAGCGTAGAACAGTATAGCAACTGGTAGATTCGATAAATGTCGCCCGTAGAATACAATCGAAACTACTACATTCGATAATTCACTTGCTTAAAATGTCCGCGTAAACTATCGAAAGTGCCACTTTCAATATTTGTCAATATTATTTTTACGTGGAACAGTATCGAATCTACCACATTCGATAGTTTTGTTTGTTAACCCCCATTATGATGCAACAAAATTATTATTATCTATTATTTAAATAAATTCAAACATATAGACATACAGCAAACTTATTTTTAATGTAGGTAAGCAATTTAAATATAAAATATTCACTTACCGGGATGTTCGACATTTTTTTCGTTGATATCGGTTTCACAACGCTGTTGTTGTTCAACTTTTTTAACTAAATCAACCATACATCTACCTCGCCTATTCATTTTCAAACTTAAAATAAGAAATAATAAAACACAAAGAAAAGAAACAAAGAAATGAAAACTACTTAAAATTAAACAACATCAACACGTGCTTCCTTCCTCACATCGCGGCGAACACTAACGACTCGGGCAGTTACGATCGATGCGCGCGTATCGACACGTACGAACACGATCGAATGTGTCACATTCGATGATGTTAGTCGCTCAGAGTATGGAGTATCGATTTTATTCGACTTAAAACTTGCTTAAATATATATTTTTTCAAAAATATTTTTATTATTTCTGGTAGAACATTATATGCACTTTCAAATAAAGCAATAAAAAAAGTTTTGATAATTTACAATTTCGATACTGTTCGTTGCGGCAGTCGATATAACTCGGAAAAAGTCATATTGGTACTTGCCAGGTTTCGAATCCACACCCTCAAGCATGAGAAGCGGGCTCCTTAACCTCCGGGCCACCACGACACGCTCTATGCATTACATATACATAGTATGGCCATAAATACTGTTACAATTAAAAATAAACAAAAGATTACATTTGAATTTGGAATCTGTCATTTTTATATAATTTTTCATTGTGTTTTCTTATTTTGGCGCCAATAAATTGTTCAATATTTTGCGATATTAAAATGGAGTGGGGTGATATAGAGAACCGAATCGCTGTGATTGCATTACACAAAGTGGGTATGGAGCCAAATGCAATTTTTAAAACTCTCCACACGCTTGGCGTTAGTCAATTGTGCACCGGGCTATTATTAGGTACAATGAGACCTCCTCTGTTTGTGACAGAAAAAGATCTGGCCGTCCACGTAGTGTTCGTACGAAAAAGGTGGTCAAAGCAGTAAGGGAAAGACTTCGAAGAAATCCTGTCCGAAAGCAAAAGATTTTATCTCGGGAGATGAAGATAGCACCTAGAACCATGTCGCGTCTTTTAAAAGACGACTTAGGACTTGCAGCCTATAAGAGACGCACTGGACATTTTTTAAATGATAATTTAAAAAAGTATAGGGTAATAAAATCTAAACAACTACTGAAGCGTTACGCAAAGGGAGGTCACAGAAATTTTTTTACAATTGAGCAACATTTTAACAAACAAAATGACCGTATTTTTGCTCAAAGCTCTAAGGAAGCTTCTCAATATTAGTCGACAGAGTGCAACGTGGGTATTATCCGACTTCAGTGATGGTTTGGTGGGGTGTTAGCTATGAAGGAGTGACTGAGCCATACTTTTGCGAAAAAGGTATTAAAACATCGGCACAAGTGTATTAAAATACAATTCTTGAGAAGGTAGTTAAGCTCCTTAACAACACCATGTTCAATAACCAACAATGGTCCTTCCAGCAAGACTCGGCGCCGGGTCATAAAGCTCGGTCCACGCAGTCTTGGTTGGAAACGAACGTTTCCGACTTCTTCAGAGCTGACTGGCCGTCGTCTAGTCCCGATCTTAATCCACTGGATTATGATTTATGGTCAGTTTTAGAGAGTAGGGCTTGCTCTAAACGTCATGAAATTTGGACTCCCTAAAACAATCCATACGATTGGCAGTGAAGAATTTTCCCATGGAAAGAGTGCGTGCTTCTATTGATAACTGGCCTCAACGTTTAAAGGACTTGACAAGCCAATGGAGACCACTTCGAATAAGCTTTTTATGTTTTAAATTGTTTTATATTTATGTATTAAACTTACATATTGTAAAAGTAATAAATGTTATTTGCAATAGAATTTTTTATTTATTTGTTACAGTATTTGTGGCTAGACTAGGTATAGTAATGCAGCGCACTGCGCAGTCTAAGTTGAAGGTCCTACAAAATATAGGAGTTTAATTTGTTACATTATATTATCTATTTGTGACCTTTCGTCAGGTACACTTATTTAACGCATGCTCTATAATATGCCATATATATATATATATATATATATCTTCTCCTATCCCTAAAGGCCGTCAGCACGCTTGCTAGCCTCGTGAGGCTAGTGTCTATGGGCCTCCGATAGCTTGGCATCACGCAATGCGTCAGCTCGTTTAGCGGCCTGACCCACAACAACACACATTACATTAGGGTGAGCAGAACAAGAGCTACACAATGATCCCCTCCGCAGGCCATGGGTCGGTGCACAGATCTCTGCAACGGAGCACTGGAGTGCGGCCAGTGCAGGCGTTGCCATTGCACATGTTACACCGCAGCTTTTACGAGCGTCGTAAGGGCGTGTTGCAGCTTCCCAGAAACGGGCCGCTGTGCACATGGGCGGCCATAAACTGGCTATTATCCGGCCCCGCTCCGAGCTCGGTATTTATTGGCCATCTATGTATGCTGCGCCTGCATCTTCAGCTCTTATATTAGCAGCTCTGTTGGATTTGGCGCGGATTTTATGTTTCGACTTTGTTTCAAGTTTTACTGATTGCTATCATTAAATAGGTCTTTTACTTTGGAAAAGAAAATGCAATGATAAAAATGCATATTATTATCAATAATGTGCCACTTCTTATAGCTATAAGCTTCGTGTAGGCAATATGTCGTGTGTGTGTGCGTGTGTGTGTGTGTGTGTGTGTGTGTGTGTGTGTGTGTGTGTGTGTGTGTGTAACTTAAAAACTAAAGTATTTTATTATTGTGACTGGACGGTTGGCACTGTGTCTGTACAACGTGTCGAGGGTTCAAACAACTTAGGAGATATCTGTGTGAGGGGCAACGTTTAAAAAAACGAATCAAAATTAAGTTATTAGCGCAATCAATGGATCTGTCCTCGATAACCCCCATGACCTTGATATAGAAAGGTCTTTAGCAAGCATGCGGTACCAGGAGCGCAGTATCAAGTAACAGGTTTTCCTTGCTACCCGCAGTAGTAGTCAAGTTAAGTGGTTGCGATTTTAATGACACTGATTTAATTTTGATTCAAATTCATTGCAGACTTTAATTTAGTAAATATCGTATGGAAGTCAGGCCTAAATGCTGTAATTCTAACTAGGAGCTAATTTGAAGGTAAATGAAAAAATCGTCGTCGTCAAGGGAATATGACGTCAATATGAAGAAGGTCCCCAAAGACTCGTTACAGCATTGTTGAAAATTGTAAGTTATGTTACTGCTCTCAGACGATTGAGTACACTGGTTAAGAGAATAATAAAATACATTCACTTGGATTCTACAAGAAATCCCTTTGCTCTTTTGGAGGTTGGCAGGTACTACCTCTCGCGGCGAGCTGTCTCCTCGAGTGTAATGCGCGTAGTATTTATTGAGTCATCCGACCACTATAGACTGGGCCTACTGGGGCCGACGTCAGTCAGGGTGGCGGGAGCAAGCACAATGAAGCAACCCCGGCCTGTGAAGGGGCTGGGACAGAGTAGTTTTTATCAACCCCAGCCCAGGGCGCGGAAATACGGTTGACTCGGTGTCTGGGTAAACCCGCCTGCCGTGCAGTGTATCGCGGGTTCGATTCCAGCACTGTGATACTCTTTGTGTGATCCACAAAGCTGTTCCGTATCTGAGTGTCGTGTAGGTATGTGTGATTGAATGTTTGTAAGAGTATCTACGAAACAGCAGAAATTGCGAGTTCTAGCAACACCAAGGAGGTTGGTAGGCACGCGACCCGTGGGGCAAGCAGTTGTAGCCTGCGCTGAGCACTGTATTATGGAGGTATGTGCAGGGATTAATACATTATTTTTATATGAACATGGAACTTGCTGCCGGCCACAGCAACGGCCGAGCCACTTCAACTCAAACATTGCTCGAGAAAGTATCAAGTAGGTGTCAGTGGCTCGATAAGTGGTTCATTCTTGGATTACTAAGACTCGAGAGGTCGGCCTTTTAAAAATAATTACGTACATTAATTGTTAAGATGACGAGAGATGTACGCGTAAATTGAGTTTTCATCACCAGTATGGTGTTAAGCCGCGGTCACAAGCGTAATATTTACAGTTTGTGTGCACAAAGTGTGGGAACGGATCCTGGCACACGTGCAGTGGCGGCCGCCCAGTCGCTACACCAACCATTTCAAATATAAACCAGTTTCAGTTTAAATTAGCATGAGTCTAGTTAGTAATGAGTTTAAGTGTGGATGCTACGACCCTTGTAAACGTCACTTGTCTGTCCCAGGTTCGAGTCGTGATGATGACCTGCATCGTTCACAGCAACCAACGCTGCGTTGGTGCGCATAATGATTGTAGCAACAGTTGTTTGAGACTAAAACATGCCTTTCAAGTTACATCCTGCTAGATGCTGTTACCCTAGTACTTGAGCCGATGGCAGGCCTCTAGTGATCAATACATTGCACCCTGGACGATTACAGCGCAACTCTTGGTTCGGTGCAGTTATTGATTGGAGGCAGCTTGATGGAAACCGCTTACCAGGAGCTCAGTAAATAGCAGGAAGTCGTTTGCAATAGTGCGCATGTTTAACTGACGCGGTTGTATGTGTAAGAAAGCGATGCACCCGTCCATGTGAGTGTTTCACGCTCCGATGTCTAGGATGAATACAGGAGACTAACTTTTTGGGATCAAGGCGATGTTTTGTTTGTGAAACAAACGCAGAATTACTGAACTATATTCAGATTACGGTAACTGTACAACAGGTACGGTAACAACAGTAAACGTAGTGAGGTGTTAGTTAATAATGTTATATTTCACAATATAACATTAGACTAAAACAATAGCTGCGATGCAATACACACGGATGAGTTTGGCATGAAATATGTAAAGTGTCGGTGGAACAGGCGCGCAGTATGCGAGAAAGTCTAGTTTTTCAGTTTATGCTCAAAAATGTAGTGCGGGTAAAGTTCAGCAAAATTGCAATTAGTATTTAAATAATTATCAAATCCTACATTCTCACTCCTTCGCAGCAATCTCTCGCATGTTGAGGAGTCGTGCACCTAACTGTAAGGTATGTGCCGCCGAACAAAACAAGAGCAGGGAGTGATCGTACGGTTGCTGAGGTACAGATGCGTAATATTGCTTGTAGCCACTCGAAGCCACTCGAGCCGAGTTCAGGATCCGAGCCGTCATCGCCCAGCGTCGAGTGGTGGCAGGGAGCACCACACAGCATATTTGATTTAATACGTGTTAAAAGATCTATGCGTGTGGCAACACAACGTTGTTCGGTAACTTTCGGTCCATTGTGTGTTTAACCTCCTTCGTAAATTTAAATAGTTTGGCTAATCCTTTTTTTAAGTAATCTGCCGGTATATTTACTAGGTAGCCACTATCCGTCGGATGCATTTGAAAATGGAATAAAGTTAATCTGTTGTTTTTTCTTTGTCAGGTTGTTTCATACGACTGTGAAGTTGCTGTGCAACGTGTCGTGGGTTCGATTCCCACTCGAAACAACACTTTGTGTGATCTCCAATTAGTTTTTTCGGGTTTTGGGTGTATTTATAAACAAAAAACAAATCAGAAAAATGTGAAATATATGGTTGTTTTGCTGTCTTGTAAAATTCTTTGAAAATAATTATTATGTATTATGTGATTTTGTAATTATTTCACGTCACGATCGACTTTTTAGTTTGAATGTAGAAACATAAAGATGCGCAAGTTATTTTCCCAGGAAGATGGCAGTGAAGCCGCGAGCATCAGGTCGCGCGCCAGTTGTCCGGCCGGCGGTGCTGGTGGCGCGGCCTTGTGCGTTACACCGAATCTTCCAATAAATCACTCTCAGAATAAATTTGTTTAGAAATATCGTCCAAGTGCAAGACGCCGTTAATTGCATAATGAGTTTCGTGCTAATGAGTATTTATAGCGGGAACAATGTAAAAGCTTATCTATTTATACTGCCTAGAACAAAGTGTTGATGAATTAGAAAATATTAATGCCATTCATAAACAGTTGAAACGTGAATTGAATTTATGTGACAAATAACAGAAGATAGGCCAAGTAATTAGTGGCTAATGTTGTTCAGCGGAGCATCGTCGGTTACTGTAGACGTATGACGATTTTTTATGTCAAACAGCAAACTTATCTGTTCAAAATGTGCTCGAATAAATATAAAATGAAGTATATCGTGTAATCAGTGAATGAAAGTACGATTTTATTATATAAGGTACGATAATTCATTGTTAAGTCAAAATTATTTGTCTTTAATCTAGAAAACTGCCCAATTGTTAAAGTTTTGCTTGATAAATACTAACATTGCGTACCTAAGTATATATACCTTGCAAAGTCGCTATAAATGAATTTTGTTGATTTTGTTGTATTGGATTGCACTAAAAGCGATGATAAGTTTTGTTTCAGGATGGAGATATTAGCCTAATCACGCTCAAAACCTATTTTATGATGAAAGAAGCAAAAGCCTAGCAAGGAGCACTTTATAAGCAAACATGTTTACCCCGGGATAACATGAGTAAACATTACGCTCTCAGTCCGTAGTGTCGCATCGTAGGCATGTGTAAATATAATGTCACTTTGCTTAGTGAACGACTGTAATCATATGTTTTGTTGTGTTTGGGCCGCGCACACACCCTGCACCTCGAGCATGCAAAATATTTGATTACACTTTATGATATAAAACAGAGCGGAGCAATGGATACATGTGTATTATTATACAATTGTATGATTATATACAACATCATCATTGGTGATGACCAAAGCGCAATATACAAAACTGAAAACATGTCTGACAGCAATGCAAAGGTGCATGCTTAATATAACATAATCTGACAGAATAAGAAACACTACTATCCGAAGACGCATGAAAATTGGAAACGTTACATTACTACTAAGGAAACTAAAGAAATGGTCTGGCCAGATGGTCAGAGGTATCGAAAAGTGGAATAAAATCATTATATTTTGGTACCCTAGGGATAAGAAAAGAAATCGAGGTCAACAGTATCGAAGCTTGGATGACGAAAATTAAACCATAGCAGGGAAAATATGGAACTAGTAGAGCCCAAAATAGAGCAGAATAGAGGGAAATGGAGGACTTTGCCAAAGTTGGACAAACAGAGAAAGTTGTTGGTGTGACCAACTCAGCAGATTGTTGGATTACGTAAGTTGTGTTTAATATTGTTAACTGCGGTCTCAACAAAGGCTTATTTACTTATTTATACACCAACATCATCATCATATTATAGTGCCCACTACTGACAAAACGTCTCTTCTGACTAGGAGAAGGTTTAAGCAGTAAAACTTGCTCAAGATGGATTGGCGATTCCAATATTATAATCAGAAATTATAAGCCCATGTTACCTTCACCGTATAAATATCGTCTAGTACTCAGCCAATTTAAACATTGTGTACAACATTGGAGAGTGTAGCTTTCAGTGAAATAAATGTTTTAAAATGTAATGTGGTGGCGCGGCCTGCGCTTGCGCCGCTCTACCGGGAACTAGTAACTAAACGTTTCAAGTCGTTTAGACAACGTATTTCATGGCCATTATCTACAAGTAATGTAATATAACAAACATTTTAATTTGTAATGTAGGTATTCAAGTAGTAAATAAAAACAATCTAGTGTATCAGTTCTAGCACTTTGGCGATGAATCCATCACGTAAAATGTTGTTTTGGTAAAATATAATGATCGGGTTAGTACTCACCGTGGTCGTTGGGCACGGCGTACTGGTAGTTGGGGATGAGGTCGGGCAGGTCGTGGTGCGGCGGCGGCGAGGAGGGCGGCGGCCGGTAGCCCGGCTCCACGCCGCCGTACGGCAGCGGCCACTCGCGCTCGTTGATGGCGCCGTACGCGCAGTACTCCCCGCCGTACGCCAGCTGCTGGCTCGAGCTGGCGTGCGAGTACGCGCACGCTCCGTAGTCGATGGACCCTCCGCCGGCGGACGCCGCGCCGCTGCCGCTGGCGAGCTCGTAGCCCGTGGGCTGCGAAGGCGGCAGAGCTGGTACGCCGCCCCCACAAAGGTAGCTCCCGCTCCCGAATTGAGGCTTTAACGCTTGACACTTCCGACGGAATCCACGCGGCCTTCTTCTGAACGAACCTTCTTCGAACATAAATTCCGACGAAGGGTCTATCGTCCAGTAGTGCCCCTTCCCCGGCCTGCCCAAGCCTTTGGGTAACTTCACGAAGCATTCATTCAAACTTAAATTATGGCGAACAGAATTTTTCCAGCCTTGATAGGAACTGCGGAAAAACGGGAACTGTTGTTGCAGGAACGCATAGATTTCGCTGAGCGTGAGTCGTTTGTTGGGCGAGTGCCGTATAGCCATCACAATAAGGGCGATGTAGGAGAAGGGTGGCTTCTCCTGCCTGCGCGTGGCGGGCGCGCGGCGCGCCGCCTCCTCCGTGCTCTGGTCCTCGGTCTTCATGCGTGCGCGTGCGTGTGCGTCGCTGCGCGTGCGAGCCGGCAGTGCGCGCGCGCCGCCTCCGCCGCCGCGCCGCCCAGCGCCGCCCCACCACTCCCACGCCCGCCTCTCCGCCGGACCGATGCGCTCGGCGCTCAACCATTGCGCGCCACACCAATAGAGACACTATCAACTAATCCGCAAAGTGGGCTCGACGTGAAGGACCTACACAATAATGTAGCCAATAGGGACAACAAGTCCCAGTAAACTGGGGTTTTGTACCGAATACGTCAGCAAGTTGAAGACGTGCTTTGAGCATTACTCGTTTTAGATGTGAGTAGGTAGAAAGGTTGGAGGTAGAGTGTTCGGCCTCAGGACGTGTGGGCTTGTGTATGGGGCGGTCATTGCTCTGGCGGATCCCCGTCTGTATCATCGACGGGCTCACACAAACACCAAACAGCGGAAAACCCGCTTAGACAATAATATTTACCCGTCGCAAGGACGGCTGTCGAACGGCCGCTCTTGACCTAGCACAATCAAAGCAAACATTTGACTACAACTATAAACCAGTAACACGCCAACCACCAAATATTTACCAAAAAGCGTAAACCAAAAGTTTTGCATTAAACTTGCCGGATTTATTTAGGTACTCGCACATGTGTAAACTAAAGCTTACAATCGAAAACCAACTTTACTCGGTTAGCTTATGATTCAGTTTAGGATTCGTAAAATGAAGAATCAAAGGCCGTTTGGCAGTTCTGGCCAGCACTGAAGAGAATGAAGAGGAAGACAATATAACGAGCCTTCATTAAATAAACTCCCAGTTTATTGCTGCACATTAAGCTGTGGCCGCGATGGTTGCGGTTTCTAACTAATTCTTGCATCTCAGGAACACCTCTCACCTAGCTTCGCTACACTCGCTATCTGATTTAATCTGATGCCTCTTTGGCAGGAAGTAATAACCGCATAGACTAGTTACGAGTTAAGCATTATGTGTGTAGTGACTATAGTGAGTATATATACTACTGGATGATGTCACACCTTCACAGACTTTGCATCCATTAACAACAATATAAATCACGTTAGACAAGCGTCACTGCAATGACGTCGCTCGATGTCGTTATAAATAAATCATTATTATCGAATGCTGCTATAAATACGTGCCGGGCCCGGGTTGCTGATCGTTCCGATAAACAATGGCTGCCACCGTAGTAAACATTAATACTACGACTATTCCAACTTTTTTACTTTTACTAACAACTGTTTACTGCGTAAACACACAACGGAAATTATTTAGCGCTTATTTTTGATAAAGCAAAACATTTTAAAACAATCGAGCCGTGTTTCCATAAAGACAGGCAGTATAGCCAATACCTGCCTACCAATCTCAAAAATAATCCACCAGGTACGGCAGATACGCTGAACGCACTACATAAACTCAATACTCCGACCGAAGCTACTTTTCTCTTTCCAACGCAGCGCTTCCACGGAACACTGAGTCGAAAGGAAGATGCGCTCCGACACGAACTGCTTCGTAAGCTCCGCCCACAAGATGGCGCGGGCGCTGGGAGCGGCGCGCGCGCAGCCGACGGATCATTGCCTGATCTTGAACCCTCCATTCATCACCTTTTACGATCTAGTGATGTTTGCTTTGAGGTTTTTACGGTTTCGCCTTAATTTTTGGTGTGCAATTAGACATTTTATTGCTGAAGTTTAATTCATTTTCCAACCATTATTACAAACCGAAAATTCGTGAAATCGCGTTCGGGGCGACATGTAACGATTCATTAGACGTGTAACACATTGTTGGTGTAGTAAATGTCGGCATTCATTAGATTACTATGTAACGTTAGCTCGGCGCGTCCGACGCACTCTGCAGATAAGCACATCCTTTGCTTATTGAGTGACCGTGGCCTCTGAGAACTGGCAGTCAGCGCTGTCAGCGACTTTGTGACTTATTGTGCTATTTGAGAAGAAGGCATTCATTGAGGTAACCTCGCACTCACTATTACTATTATTGCGCATGAGGCTTTACATCGCTGCTTGATAAGTTTGGTGGGACGGACGCAGCGCACCTGACAGACTTCAACGCTGATACAATAAGCTTCAAATTACTGTACGACACAACGTCTTCAGGATAACATTTTACAAGTTATCTTTACAATTTCGTTATTTTGTTTAGACTGGAATTAAGGTGATTTTATTTCCGTAGCTCGGCCGCGTGTGCTCGTAGTAAACAATGTACGCCTTTGGCAACCGCCTTCCTTGTTTCGAATACAAATACAGATAACATTTAACACAGAATCCCACGAACGACTTGTGTACCTTTGCCAATCTCAATAATGGCGGACATAATCTATCTCTATGATTGAAATTTATTTTGATATTTGATAATTATGTCTATCCGACACCTTATCAAATATTTTTAAGTTTTTCCTAACATACATAATGTTTTCATAAATAAACTGACATGGCACGGTCATAATATTGATCTCTAAACTTTTCTCTAAGAGATTCAATGAAACAATGAAAAAAATGAAAGTAGCCGAAGTACACCAGTCTTGCAGTGTCCACATCTGTTAGCTGTCGGATCTTCCAGACAGCAAATGCTGCAGAGCTCAACCGTCCTGCCAGAGATGTGATATGGGGCCTCCATTGTAGTTTGTCATATATGGTTATACCCAGAAAAGTAGTTTGTTTTACAAATTCCAATTTCTTACCGTTTAATAATATGCCATTAAATTATAATTATCATTGGATCAATCATCATCAATTACTTACTATAGTAAGTAATCCATACCAAGATGTACGCATCATCGCACAAAAATACGCAAGAAGAAACCATTTTTACGAAAAAAAAAAACAAAAAGAGAAACACGAAAAAGTAAAAAAACAATAAGTTACTTCAACACATATGAAGAGAAAATGTACAAATAATCAACCGACAGCTTTCTGGCAAGGATAAAAAAATAGCTGAGCAGATAAATGTAAAAATTAAATCCTTCGGACTAGTATCAAAACAATACTTATAATATGATTTAGTATTAACGCAGAGCTGTAGGATTCACGCTCTTCTAGATTCAATAATATCCAAGTGATGTCCAGGATCGCCTGTCTCGTCGACATTGTCAAAGTAGAGATATGAAAACGTTTTATTTATTTCTTCATTATAACACTAATAGTAATTCCTCTAATTTGTAATCTTATCTTACTCTTACTAATATAATAGATGCGAATGTTAGGACGTTTGTTATTCGATCACACCAAACCGGCTGGACGGATCAGGATGAAATTGGCACAGGCGTAGGATACCTACACTCCGGAATAGGACATAGGCTTTACATCAACATACCACACGTAATACTTTGGCACCTTGTATTTTTTTGTATGTGATCTGCTCCTATTGTTTATATACATCTTTTTATGAATAATTATGTGTAATTATTCACGCGCGGCTGTCAGTAACATATTGGTGTACTGCGTTGTAAGTATACCTACAGTATATATATGTAGTTCTGTTTGACAAATAGTCGCCGAGCGGTACGTGTTTATATTTGAGCACATATTTAAGGTTATAATTGATAGCGTGAGTACCTACGAGTGCCCGCCGTACAACAATGGCAGTAACATAACCCTGCGCCAGTACCTACTGACGACCGGATAGACTTTGTATGTGCCGCGGCTCGGCTCGACACTAATCGCTCGGCGTAACGGTGCCGTTTGACATTCGACGCGGCCATTTCTTAGTAATCTGACAAGACTTCAGATACGAGCTGTACTCATGGTGTTGCTTCTATAACTTAACTTAAATGAGCGCAGTTTTTAGGAAATGTTATTTATTTATTTTATAGATAAACATTCGACAGTAGTTTTCAAGAGGAGACCTTGTGGGTAAATCTGAATTCCTACATTACACAGACAGTACATAATATACATAATTAAGCACAGTGAAGGTCTATCCAATCGATGAATTTTTAGTTAGGTACCAGGCGAGCATATTTTTGTAAGAGGTCTCGTAGTACTTACAGCATTGTAAACCTCACTTACACCCTGGTACGGAGCCTAGAAAAAGGCGCGCGTCCATCGTCAGGTGGCGCTGCGCATGCCTACAGCTGCCCGGCGGTTATTAAATCTTCCATTTCATTTTCCTATCTCGGTCTCAAATTCTGAAATGCACATTTGTTTGTGTGCATTGTTGTTGTAGATATGAGTTATCACGTACGTGTGTGTGTATCGATTTGTTAGATGACCTAGTTCCGTTTTGAGATGGCGGTCTTCGAAATTATCTCGCTTCATTTACATAATACATATGTTTAAATTAAATATTCTTTAGTGCCAATGATATCCTTTGGTCCCATCTAATAAAATTGTATGTCCGTGATCTCAGCAGTTCGACTCTTGGTATTGAGATTTGAGCATATAAATAGTTTACCTGCCTCAGTAATCGATCCCAAGATTGGCTTAAGGTTGGACGAACGCTTATGACAATTCATTATTCAATTCAGGATAAGAAATGAAACAAGGAAAATTACGGCACACCAAGATTTATTTCAATAAAATGACATGAGCACATGAAATGGCAAAATGAGCAACATTTATACTAGAAGGGTAAATTCGGTTTAAGTAGGATTAAGGAGTCCATTAGTTCACGCAAACATAGTTATCTACATCAACAGGTGCTACAGGAGGAATAACCTTGAGTCACTTGGAATGAACACGTTTCATAAAATAGTTATTTATTTGTACAAAGTAGATGACATCAAATGTACCATTACACAGTGCAGATTGAAAGACAGACAGAATTATCTGTAAGAGTAATAATTGTATCAGCAAGCACCACGCTAAACGCTAAGTTAATAAGTTACAATAATGACACGATTCAGGTAACACAGACTGCATCGAAAATGTTTCCTCAACATTACCCCATAGTGGTGTACCCACACACAACTCGTGGACGCCCTCAGAGAGACACGCACACATACATATTTATACTACTGGGAGTATCGATATGGGGAACTCTTACAATATGCTCCCCAAAGTGAGGGTCAAATCTCTTGAAATGACGTTTCCAAAACCACCAAGTATTATATAAATGTAACTAGTAAGAATAGAACACATCTATTATCCTTATTAAAACACTTTATCACATTAAGAAACTACTCTGAAGTCGTAACATTTTTACTACACTCATAAGAATTGATAAAACCTTCTAAAAGAATGTTTACGCCGTTTGATCATAGTTCCACACTGGAATACTGCCACTAACACAGACCACGACACTGAGACGCCTTTAACACTAGAGCATCGATATAGACGACCGCAGACGACAGATAAGGGAACACGCAATAACGTCGGGGCCATCAGTCCTCAGCTTCATCTGAAGCTCAGGACGCGTCGGATCATTCGGCACTGAAGAAGTACAGGAACGGCAGCAGGTAGTCGAGTAGCAGCCTCACCTGGCCGTCCTCTTCGAACAGTCTGCTCAGGGTTATGAAGATTCCGTTTGCGATTTCTTCGATCACGATAAAGAACAGCTTGATGAACAATATCAGAAGCTGAACTATCTTATACTCCTCCAATTTATTGAATGTGCGTATTACCCAGTTGGCTTCAGGCATTTTGGTTGATTTCTTTAAACTTCCCTCCTCAACAAATGAGGTAATTCGATTTTCCTGTTTTCGTTGCGACCGCCTTCCTCTTTACGAGCTGTTACACCGACGGCGTATGCAGATGCAACTCTATTCAAATACGCATGCGTCAACTTCCTGCTGTGTACGGTAGCTACTGAGCTACTACATGTAGATACAGACTTCTGGCGAGTTTTTTTACTGCCTAGACTACCTGGCGCCCTAGTACTCAAACTATTTCTATAGGCCATTTAATCTGCAGATAATGCAGACACTTCTTTGTGGGTCATTTTATTGTTAACTTTAATTCTTGTATGAGCGCCCTGTGTGTCGTCCATGCGGTACAACTTTTAGGAATCGCTAATTGAATTCAGTCAATTCAATTCCAGCATCCCATTACATGCACTTTTTGCAAATAATATAACTTAAATTCTGACTGTAATTAATTAGGATTAGTCATGCCACATCCATAGGTTTTATAACTACCTGAGTTGGAAATATTACATCCTAAATTAATAACCGCCTTACTTAAAACTAACTTTAAATATCATAAACGAAATATTCTATTAATTGCAACAATTCTTACAATTCTTCAATTTGTTGAAATGTTATAGACTTTAGACGCCAAATATAAAATTATGAAACAATGAAACAATGAACTACTACAAGGAACAACACTAGCCCAGGATTGAATTCAAAATTTGAAATTCGATTCTAATAAGCGGTTAACTTTACTGTAAAGCATTTAATTATAAAATAAAAGACTGCTTAGGCTAACTCGGGCTTGGTAATGAGCCGCTTTAACGTCTGCAAAGGTCATGTTGACATGTTTGTAACATATGTTGCATTTTTTATATACAATTTGACCTTATCGCATATAGTTAGCACGAGCAAATTTTTTGCCAAATAACTACTAATACTTACTAGTTGTGCTAGTACTTGTAATAAATATTAGTTATCACTAATAGATACCGTACTTACTTGCCTAGAAATATAGCTCTGCTCGTTACTGCAATCCTAGTATCGGAAAATTTCGCCTAGTTCCATGACTGCACATATTTGGTTCTCGAAAAGAGTGATTAACAGCGATCTCTATAAGTAAGCAGGAAATCAGAAAACACCACATTCCCTTACAAAGGAAGTAGAGGCGCGCATACTTGGCTAGTAACGTGTGGGAGAACCAAATTTCGGCACCAATGGGCTCGACCGGAGTGATACCACGCCCTCACAGAAAACCAGCATCAAACAACCACAGTGGCCGGAGATCGTCCATTTGATCACCGACGCCCGTAGTGTCACCTGTTGCGGCGGCTGGGGCGTGAGAAGGAGGATTGCTCCCTCACGCGGAACCAACTGCTTCACAGAAGGAGAGACGGCTTCCCAGTTCCTCTCGCTCCGCACAATGACCTCGACTAAGGCCGGCGCGAGAATTCACCGCGCCGATCACTTCCCTGAGGACAAGAGAGGTGCTCAAGGGCATACCGCCACCGTATGCTCGACGGTATCATCTAGGTGGTCCTCACAATGACGACACTCGGGCGTGCCTCAAAGAGCCAATAGACCACCACAAACGGGGCGCAGCAGTCAGTAAGAGTCTGACACTCCCTCCCGCCCGACCCTGGGCGGGAGAAGTAATTTGATGACTATGCCCTAACAAAAAAGCCTCGTGTTTCGCCGTATGAGGGAGATTACCGGAGGTCAACTATTGTTGTTTATTGTTGGATAAACAACAATAGTAATACTTACGTAGTAAGTATTCAGTAATCATCCTAGTACGAGTGAGACGGGCCATTCACATGCCCAAGTGAATAAAGTGAAATTTCCAAACTCATGTAATCAATTCATTTTCAATAATAATTTATATTTTAAGAATGTTGTGTTATTATCGTCTAGTTTATTGCACCATATTACTTTTTTATCACCTTGTATCACCATGCACCCTCATCATCTAGCTCCCGGGAATATGTACGAAGTACAGTTTATTGATGTCAATCGCACGCGCAGTCAGCAGTTCCACACTGACCCAAACATTTCGTGTTAATATTAAGTAAGTAATATCATTGAAAAGTTAATTAACGTTCGGTCACCAACCAAGCCGCGTTTCCTCATACCATTAACCGTTACCATTTTAACTAATATACCATATATTACCATACAACTTTCTACTATTTAATTGTTGGATTTACGCCCAACACTTGGCATTAGTCAAATGTTTGTGTACCGGGCTATTAATATGTACAATGAGACCTCCTCTGTTTGTGACAGAAAAAGATCTGGCCGTCTACGTAGTGTTCGTACGAAAAAGGTGGTCAAAGCAGTAAGGGAAAGAATTGGAAGAAATCCCGTCCGAAAGCAAAAGATTTTATCTCGGGAGATGAAGATAGCACCTAGAACCATGTCGCGTATTTCAAAAGACGACTTAGGACTTGCAGCCTATAAGAGACGCACTGGACATTTTTTAAATGATAATTTAAAAAAGAATAGGGTGATAAAATCTAAACAACTACTGAAGCGGTACGCAAAGGGAGGTCACAGAAAAAAATTGTTTACGGATGAGAAAGTTTTTACAATTGAGCAACATTTTAACAAAATGACCGTATTTATGCTCAAAGCTCTAAGGAAGCTTCTCAATCAGTCGACAGAGTGCAACGTGGGCATTATCCGACTTCAGTGATGGTTGTAGTAGGGTGTTAGCTATGAAGGAGTGACTGAGCCATACTTTTGCGAAAAAGGTATCGAAACATCGGCACAAGTGTATCATAATACCATTCTTGAGAAGGTAGTTAAGCCCCTTAACAACACCATGTCCAATAACCAACAATGGTTCTTCCAGCAAAACTCGGCTCATAAAGCTCGGGTCATAAAGCTCGGTCCACGCAGTCTTGGTTGGAAACGAACGTTTCCGACTTCATCAGAGCTGAAGACTGGCCGTCGTCTAGTCCCGATCTTAATCCGCCGGATTATGATTTATGGTCAGTTTTAGAGAGTAGGGCTTGCTCTTAACGTCATGATAATTTGGACTCCCTAAAACAAACCATACGATTGGCAGTGAAGAATTTTCCCATGGAAAGAGTGCGTGCTTCTATTGATAACTGGCCTCAACGTTTAAAGGACAGTATTGCAGCCAATGGAGACCACTTCGAATAAGCTTTTTATGTTTTAAATTGTTTTATATTTATGTATTAAACTTGCATACTGTAAAAGTAATAAATGTTATTTGCAATAGAAAAAATATGTTTTTTATTTGTCTTACAGTATTTATTGCCAGACTAGGTATATGTATGTATGTATGTTCATCTGTTCCCTCGTAACTTCTAAACTACTTATCAGAATTCGACATATATCATTAGAAACGTCTATCATAAAATCTAATGTGGCGTCCTCTAGCGGACAAAACAAGCAGAGTAAAATAACGTGTTTGGTATCATTTTAAAGCGTTTTACTTGTATTATATACCAGGGTAGCCAATTGAGGAGGATATATTGAGGGTAGCATTGAAATTAAAAAGAAATTTCAATAAGATCCGTTTGGATTTTAGTTGTAAACTTAGCGAAATTTTGTTTATTTATTTACATAAACAAGTAACAAATTGCATTACTTTTATGCAATGTACACATAAAGCAATTTAGGTTTTTCTATACATTGATACGTCGACATTCTTTTATTATAATTTATTTATTCGCGGCCGCACACCTAACAACGCGGTATAAGAGTTTGTTGTGTACCTACAGCTTGTCCCATATATGTACAGTAAATTATTGTTATTTATATTTTAATTGATTAAATCTGGTATCATTAATTATTATTATAAAATGAAACTGTTATAAATATTGATACTTTTCTGTCTTAAAATATGAATTGCTTTAAGATCATCATAATTTTGTGATTTTGCAAATAACTAGTAGACATTTTTTATTTGTTTTTTTTTTTTATAGAAAACGTTGCCCCACATTAGGATTTTCTCCTGTGTCGTGGGTGCGTACAAACATACAAATTCACATACACATCACACCCAGACCCGGAACAACACTCAGTGGATCATACAAAGAGTTGTTCCGTGCGGGAATCGAACCCGCGACACGTTGCACGGCAGCCAGTTGCCCAGCCACCGCACTAACCGTGCAGTCAAAAATTACAATATAACTTATCATTTTGGCACCAAACCAGCATTCGAAAACATTTCTATGGGTCCAATTTATTGATCAATTTCTCCCCTTGTCTGGCAAGAACCAAGTTGACTTTATCTAAGTTATATGTACTTTCTATGATTCATTAGACACCACTGACATACGGTGAAGGAAAACATCGTGAGGAAACCTAGACTTATAATTTCTAATTATAAGTTTGGAATCGCAAATCCGCCTCGGGTTAGCACAGGGTGATCACGGGTTAGGTGTGTGATAATATCCTGGTACCTACTGTTCTTTATGAAATATTGAGTTTAAGCAGAAACAGCGACCGCTCAGGTTTCATTGAAACAAACTGACGGGGAGATGAATGAAACAAAATTAAACATTGGTCCTAATTTCCTACATTTATTAAATATGTTTAGAGACATCCGCATTACATATATACTTGTATGTACTTCGGCCACGTGTCGTGTGTTCGAGTCGTGAACACTCGTGTGCACCTCAACCACAGCCTCAACTGACCCTCGGACAATGTCGTGATAGTGTATTCACAGTAACCGCTGTAGATGGCGCTGTTACCAATTTGTTCGTTTTAGGAACATGATGTTAGACATATAGATTAGCTAAATACCAAAAACGATGGTCCCATATACTAATATTAAAGTTGCGAGTTGGCTTCGGCTCCTCTTATGCCTTCCAAAGGTCCTGGGCGCCTCGCCTGTGTGCCAGCCAACAGTCCCGCGAATAGATGCGATCGACATTGTTAATTAATATTCCTCAGTTTTCCCGTTTTTTTTAAAACATCGCTTCATTGATAAAATAAACCTAACATTGTTTACCGTTTGGTCAGAGATATGTTGT